AGAACAAAACTCTTTCCGCCAACAGATGGAGGAATTTCTAGACTCAACACTGACGTGGCGTTTGCACAAGTTTAAAATTGTTGTTCATTCATCCAGTTTGTAGAAAATGGAAAAAATATGTTTGAGATAACCCCCCAAAAGTCTGTTATTTTGTGCAGATAAACATTAGCTCAGTCGGCTTGAGTGCACGTTTCCAAACTTCCTGCACTGCAGAGAGAAGAACCAAACCAGCTGAATACCGAATGTTGTGCTTCTACAGACTCCTGTCTCCGGTGTTTGACGTTCACCTCATCCCTCCCTTCTCTCCAAACACCCTTATTTACCCACCGAACATATACACTCATGCAGCACTTAAACTCAGATTTATTTGTCGTTTTTTTTTTTTTTTTGCTGAACATGAATCCAGGACCGCAGTCAGCTCAGGGCAGGCCCACGCACATCTCAATGTGTGGCTGATAGCTTTGGTGCAGAAATCTGGAGTCATGCTGGCACTAAATATAGACAAAGGTTTTATGTAAGCCGGGGTGAATCATTCTATTCCACACATTTCAGCACATTTAATCACACACTCTGAATAAGTGACACGGCACAGGTGAAGGAAACACAGGGACGTGTTAAACGTCCTCGATACTCATTACGTGAAAATGGATTTGGAGAAGCGACGACGCAGCATATGCCGGCTGTCTGCTGCTTGAAATCACACACATTTGCATAAGTGAGAGTGTGTGTGTGTGTGTGTGTTTTCCTCCAGGGCCTACTATGAGTGAGGTAATTTGAACGGGTTAATCAAAGCCCTAACACGATTGATTGGATGTATGTTGAAGGGGCTGGATCCTCGTCCTTCCCTCCAGCATCACAGGGTTTTGTAAGAAGGGAGATAATAGATCAATGCTGGACGTCCAACATATATATAGGTGGTTCACACACATTTCCCAACACCATTAGCTTCCCTGTCGTCAGTGTTTGCGATTCAACAAAGGGAGTCGGGGCTGGAGGACGGCGACGAGTCGAGCTCAAAATCACCTAAGTGGATGCAGAACAAACACAAACACGCGAGCGCACCAACCACACAGCCGTGGTTATTGATCTCGTCTGCCACGAAATAATGAAGAGAGGAAGTGTTAAAATGAGTTATATCCAATTAAGAACATGCGAAGAAAAGACGGGTGGGGGCTGAGGAATGACAGAGGGGGGGGAGAGCAGGAATGAATCGGTGGAGGGAAGCTGGGAAACAGAAGAGAGGAGATGGAGGGAGGATCCAGAGGAGAGGGATTGAACCGCAGTCATTATGGCAACCAAATCTCCTCCTCCAGAGAGGTCACCTTTGACACCGCCAGGTAGCTTCACAGCGCTCATTAGCACACGCGAAACACACACACACACACACACACACAC